CATTTAAAACTTAGATTCATTGTTTGCATTGCTTTTGAAGGATTGATATCCCTACATTTACTTCTTTGTTAATTTTTAGAACAGAAACAATGGTGATATAATCAGACACAGTAATTGCTCTGAGCACTTGTGGGGAAATATTAATCAAGACAGTAGATTGTTTGAGTTGAAACTTGTTTGTTTTTGGCTATACGTAAGGAATAAAATTTTGACAACCGGACATAAATGTTAAATAAGAGTAACGATTCGTTTATACATTTTAGTGCCCTTCTGAAAATGGTTATATATGTGTTAAGTAACAAAAAATTGTAATGTTAGGCCATTTATCTGAATCTCGAAAAAAAATACATAGAGGTTTGAAAGATGATGCAAACTACTAGTTTTATGAAATTGATTATACAGAGGTTATACAGTATGTTGAAATGTTTTTGGAGCTTCATCACATCGTCATACTCTATCTGAAGACCATGCATCTTAACAATAGCCGTGCAATTAGTTTCCATTACAAAAAGCTGCATCGTAAGGCTGTCATGTCCAAAGCACAATCCTCCTCACCATTACTTTCCATAATCTGTGTAGTGGACAAAATTGACGGTTTCCCAGCGCCTGTTTCTACGGTCATTCGCGCAGAAATCCATAAGTACTATGTCTAATGACTTTTCTTGTATGATTTCCTACAGATTAGTACGACCACCAGTTTCTTTTTCCAGCTGCTGAAGATATGCGATAATTGAATGAATTGAAAAATCATGGAAACAACTTTGTACACGTGACTTATGTCGCTCTTACAGACAGAAATCATTTCTGATTATGTTGCGTACTGCTGTAGACGGCTTTTCACCGTAACAAGACTTGCACTTTGCTTACTATTTGTTGCGGTTATTTTTCCGGATGGTCCTAGTGCTCCGAATTGATTCATATTACTTTGTTCTCCAGTACCATTAAGTACACAGAATATCCCTATCTTCGAAATTCTAAATTCCTGATCTGAACACATCCTTATGATTTGAGCGTATAAAAATGATTCATCGAAAAAAGTGGTTACATACCTTCCCAAAAACGATAAATTTTCAGTAGCATCACACTATCTTCGAAACGCCAAACAATGTAGTTCTGATACATTCCGTCCACAGCGACTTTATAACGGCTGTGGCTGTCTCGTGACTCGCCGACTTGTATATCCAAAATCTTTTAAATAAAACGTACTCAACCCTCTGTATAAACAACAACACAGTATTTTTTGAAAACGTACAGTCTGCCAATAAGGTTTTAATTTTTTTCAGAAACATGTTTCCGCCAAATATAATTCAAGCAACTATGGAACAGGTACGTTTATTGTTCTATTATATTATTGTAATAATAACCAATGTAAGTCTAAGATTTCTAGAAAAAAACATGGTAACTTGCAATATTTCACTATGAATTAGCATTTTACTTCAAACGAAATGAATACAATAACTTGGGCATTGCTTTAAATAAAATTAGTTTTATATAAACATACTCATTGTATATGCGTTCTGTTTAGTTTCTAGAATGCCTTTTTAAATTACAGATATAACGACTTCCTTTCTTTAAAAAACAGACCAACTTATGTTGATTTTTTATGGAAACAGTTTTATTTAATCTCTTTCATTCAGCATAGCATTTATATACAGGCAGAAAAGTGTCTTTAAGTTCTTTAATGATAAATTATTTACAGTTTTAAATGACTATCTATATTCTTATATTGAAATAGCATAATAAACAGTTTTATGCATATTAAAAATCTTTAGATAATTCTATTGACAAAATTGATAAATTTGTCCCCTATATTTATGAGTATAACACAAAAAATCGCACTTTTATTGACAGATAGAATTGTTGTAAATACGATTTATTTTTTAATTTAGACCTCTGTATTAATGTTTTGCCAAAGAGAGAGGGCTTTCGCATCATCTAATGAGCACGTGACTTCACGTTTGATTTTTTCTTGAAATTTATAGAAAACGACTTGAACTATATAAAAGGCGAGTATGTTGATTGTGTCCGCTTCAGTAGGTGATTGGTTATTGAGTTTGTAAGCTTGGTTAGTCAATTCATGTGTTACTGTTAAGCTTAAGTGTTATCCAGATAGTAAGCTATTTCAATTTTGTAAGCTTTGAGTTTGTTTTTGCGGTGAAGTAAGGCCTATCATGACATAATGATTTGGGCACTTTTCTCGCAATCTGTGAGTCGCAGGATCGAATTCCATCACTGAACATGCTCGCTCTTTCAGGTGTAAGGGCTTTATAATGTAAAGGTTAATCCTACTATTCATTTGTAAAGTGTAGCGCAAGAGTTGGTGGTGGGTGATATTGACTAGCTGCATTCCTATAGTCTCTCACTTCAAAATTAGGGACGGCTAGCGCAAGTAACACTCAATTAGATTTGCGCGAACTTCAACAAAGGAACGAGCCATAAATTACCAGAGGTACAAGAAAGTTTCGTATATACGAGATAAGCTAACAAGTAAGCAAACTTCAACAAAGGAACGAGCCATAAATTACCAGAGGTACAAGAAAGTTTCGGATGTACGAGATAAGCTAACAAGTAAGCAAAATTATTGTTTTAGTATCTATTGTGAATTTAACTTTATCAGTTAACATTAGTGGGGCTAACAGGCTGGACTTGAAATCCAATAAATAAAACGCTAGGCATTCCATAATTTCTCACCAAAAACTCCGTAAGAACACAAGCAATAATAGAAACAGCGCTTTTGTTTTATTAATATTTATGGGTGTAACATAACAACAACAAAAAACGCACTTTTATTGACCCGATAATTTTTGTCGTTCATCTATAATGAGTGCAAGTGTATGTTTCTTATCTCAGTTGCTTATTCACACATAAAGAATAAAAATGTTGGCAAGTGCTATACTAATATGTTGAAGAACATATTGATGTAATAATTCCTGTTGTTGAGTTGGTTACTTTGGATTATCAAGTAAAGTCAGATCCACTTCAGTGATAACGAAAGTATTTTATTTTTTCGACTATGAGTTTTAAAACTTGTACAAACTCAACATAATTAATGATAGGCCAGATTTCACAAATAATGTCTCAATAGAGATTAGTCATACTTCCTAACTGTCAAGTATGTAAACAGTAGTACTTCTTTTATCTCTGTTACTTCATTGGAATCACAAATTCAAAATTTATAGCGCTAAACTAACTAATTGGCTAATTCAATAATCAATCCAATTTAGTCTTGACTAACACGCATGTTATATTGCTATAAATCATCTCCTAAACGTTCAGGAAGATTCTAGTCATTAAGCAACGCTCTCATCACGTGACAGAAAACTTCCTCTGACGAGAAACAATACAAACATTTAAATTTTAAAAAATGGACCACAACACTGCCCCCATGCTGATGGTAAATACTTTTAAACAATGCTATTACACAAGCTAAACAACGGTCATTAAAGTAAAATGTTTTTAATCCGCAATAAAGAAACTCCAAGCAATTAATATTGTTAATGTTCATAAACTGTTGTTAAACATTATAATCATTAATTAAATTGGTGAAAAAATATACAACCAAAATTGATCCACAAAACAAAATCTTTCTTTACTTATTTACTGTCTCTAAACTGTTCGGTCATCCAATAATTTTCGATAGGATAAACTTTGGTCTGTTATCAACAGTTGTTATCTTGTCGCCGAGGAACTTCTCTTCAGGGGGATGTTCGAGGGGATCCACCTCCTGGTGAATGATCTTTGTTTTTGACTGCCTGTTTTCTTGTTTCCATAAACCACATCACTAATTCTACAACATAGGGCCCTTCCCAACATGGGCACATCGTGGCCCAATGGTTAGCGTGCCTGACTGGAAATCTGAGGTTCCATTGTTCATGCCCCATTATCACAAAATATCACGTCTTACGCTTTTGTGTAGTTAGTACGTTATAACAGTTATGGTCAGATCCCACTATCTGACCTTCTGGATTGTAGATATTCATCAGCCACTTCATTACCGTATTATCTGTTCAGAGTGTGAAGTGTTAACCATAGATGTAGTGATAAAAATTACTCGGGGATCACATAACAGTTGGTAATTCATTTTGAGTTGCACAATAGCATCTGTATGTACAATGAGCGGATCTTTAAGAGTTAGGTATGTTAATACAGAAGAACTGGATAGTGTTTCTTCAATTTATTGAATGCTTGTTCACTATCAGCAGTCCAATAAAACTTGTTTCGTTTTCTAGTAGTTTATGTAGAGAATGAACTGTTTCAGAGAATGATCTTACTAACTGTTGATATTACTGTAAGAGCTCAGTCAAAGAAATCATTTTACTTCAAGCAAGTTTTGTGGTTTTGCATTGTATGCATTCCACTTCTTAGTTATATAATAAATGTCCTCCTTGTCGTCTCTAGAATTTTAACCTCTGGTGTTGTGATTGTTGTGGAGTGTAAAAGAATTTACTGGTCAGAGATTGGGAAACTTTCTAAAGCAAGTCTAGCTTCACTTTTATGTTTCTGCATCAAGTCTATTCCTAATTTGCACTCTTCCTCGGTGTCCATTACTCATGCATCATATTGTGTGGAGTATCTTCCCACAGTAAGGGTGACTTTCAACTTTCCTCTCGCTGGATTTTATGACCAGTTACTGTTCACATCAATACATCCTTTAGTTTTATCTGTGAATGCAATTTCCCAGCTTTTACTTCACGATCTGGCCTAACGCCTTTAGCTGTAGAACCAGTATCAATCACATTGTTGCAAGTCATCCCATAATAAATCTGTTGAATAGTGGACTAGTTTATTTGAAAAATGAACTCTTTATCTCAAGTGGGGTAAAATAAATATTCTCAACTAGTCTATGTTCCTTAAATTTAGCTAATTCCTGTTTTCCAATGTCTCGCTATTTCTTTGTTCTTTTCTTACATCTGTTTGGGTTCTTGGATTCCTTGTTTTATTATCACCAGTTTATTTGACATAGTCTCACCTGAAATGTTAATGTTTACCACACTTATAGAAGTTCCCTTTTTCTAATATCCTTTAGGAGCAATTTATATTTCTTACAGGCTTTTGTTTGCAGTTCTATGCAGTATATCCTATAAAGTTTTGGTTAAAACATCTACTGTCTCGATGTTTACTTTTTTCATTTTGAATTATCAGTTGCCTAATTAATCCTTTGATTTCTTCTAAACTTCCGTCAGAAGGAGTTTATGTTTCCACACAGTTTGATCTGATGATGCCATAATTTCTAGATGGTGCCTTTAGTTTTATTTCAACTTTAATTATTTCACTTCCTTGCCAACTTAAAAGCTTCTTTTAAACATCCACATTTATTTTGTTTTAGCCTATTTACATATCTTCATCTACTATGACATCTATAAGTACAATGAATCCATTATTCATTGTGAAGCACCTGGATAAATTGATTAAAGCCTTTCCACATCTTCAGCAAGTCTAGCTAAAGTCTCAGATTTCCTCCTTAATATGCTTCCAAATTTTGACTTAGAAACTTCCTTTTGATGTAGCACCCCAAATTTGTTTGATAAGGAAGCAACTAATACCTGATAGTTGTTACGTCTCTCAGTTGGAAGGTTGCTTGCTGTTGTTAAAGCTGGCCCTTTTTATGAGGAGCAAGTTAAATAGCTTGTTGTTCAATGTTCCATCCATTCACTTTGGAAATTATTTCGAACTGTGCCTGATATGCCTCTCATGATACATTCCCGTCATAGTTAATTGGTGTTTGGATTGGGTGATATTGGTGAGGTATTGAAGTAACTAGAGTTATTATCCATGAAGGTCCTGCAGTCGTAGGTGGCAAAGCAGTATTGGTATATCAAGTGTAGACCAGGTGGCTTCTTCTATTCCATATCTTATAGTTAATGGTGTTTGAGATAGGTTTTATCGAATATATGCAAAGAAGGATGTGGCTGGTTCGAGCCTTACATTTGACAATTCAGATTCTAGATGTTTTATCCTGGTGTTGATGTAGTTCTGTACTTTGTTCATCTCGTTATATTCATTATTTACATTTACGATTACTTATTCAGTATCGTTACCCTTATTTGTCTGTATTTCACTTATTTCTTTTTGTATTTATTCGATTTTGTTGGTATAATCCTTCTATACTTTTTCAGTACTGTTGTTAGAATCTTTCGGTACATTTTCGTTTTATCTCGATCTTATCTTCGATTAAATATATTTTTTTGTTATTCTTCCATAAATCTTGTCTCATTCTTGTCATTTTTCTTTTAAATTCCCATCTCTTTCTTCGTGATCACCTTTACCTTTTCTGCATTTTTTTCTCCTTGATTTCTTTATAATTTTCTGTATTTTTACTCTAGGTCTTTTAATTTTCTTTTTCTTCTTGATCTTAGTTTAATTTTCTGTCTCTTCTTTCTTCATCGTCTTTCCACTGTTTCATCATTTCTAGCAAATTATCACTTTCCCTTCGAGCACGTGTCGTCATCTGAAAGTTTGGCATTGACTTAATTTGATTTTTATCAAAATAAACCCATTTCTGACGCCAGAGTTAACGGTTTCTCTTAGTGAGCCGATTAATTTGGATTATTCGGCAAAAAGATGAATATAACGTCCAGTATACTTAATAATTACGAAAATGTTTTGTTTCTTTTACAAAAAGTTTTACAACTACGTGCTAATTTTCTCGTATACAAACAGTTGTACTCCTTGTATCTCTAGTACTTCGTTGAATACCATCCAGTGGCTCAGCGGTAAGACAGCAGGCTTACGACGCTAAAATACGGGTTTAGATTCCCCTGGTGGAGGGGGGCAGAGCACAGATAGCTCATTGTGTAGCTTTGTATTTAACAACAACCATACCAAACTTCTTTGAAAACACGAAATTAAAATTTACCTAACTAACTGACCGACTAAATAATATCGTCTTTGATCGCTTAACTCATGTTTTATGTCATTCAAAACGTTTCCTAAACTTTCAAGAAAATGCTAGTCATTAAGTGGCGTCAAAAATTCCATCTAACGAAAACAATACAAACGTCATACCCTACAATAATATTTATTTAACCGTTATCTTAATACTTCTTCCTTTTCTCTTCACAGGTTAAGCACAAAATAATATTACAGATATTATTTTTTGTTATTCATAGGCACGCGAGTACTTTTATATTCATTCTTTATTATTTAAGCTTTGTAAGTTTTAATTTCAACTGAAGAAAATGTGACATAATTACTTCGAAGAAAAACAAATTTTATTTCTTTGTATAACTTTCTTGTACTTAAAAATATCATTACAAGAGAAGTAGTCTAGAATATATCCATGACTGTTTTTCCTTTTAGTACAAGACTGTAATTATTCCACCAGAGTCAGAAAGAGTTAACACCTCCGGAGACAACATCAGCGAAAGTAAGCAATTTTATTATTATGTGAGTGTATTAAAAATTAACATTTTAAATAAACTACATATTTTCAAAGATGTTACATAGGTGTTGATTGAAACCTTGGCTGTTAAGAGTAAATGTTTTATTTTATTTTTTTACTTTCTAAGTCGTCTTATTACTTTTCTTCATTTCGAAAGCACCTAAAAACGAATGGGAAATCAGCGGTGAATTTATTGCATCAACCAACATTCTTGGGCTGGTGATGTTTTCAATAGTTTTAGGCGTCACTCTGGCTAAGATGGATAGTAAAGGAAAGCCTTTGTTGGACATGATTACCAGCCTTAGTGAAGCTATGATGTTAATCACCTCCAGGGTCGTGTGGTGAGTCTTCATCTGTCAGTTTTTATCAAAGAGCGATATTCTTATCAAATATTATGTGATATTGATGAAAATGTTCATATGTAAGAATTTAATGCAATTATAGAGTGCTCATTATCCACTCCATATAAAAAAACATGAAATGCTGCTTTTTGATAACTGAATTTCAAACGCATTGTATTAGTAAATATTATATAAATATAAGAGTACAAAATAATAGTAGGATTAACTTATTATGAGTACAAGTAAATATCTCAGAGCATTTTTATTGTACTGTTAATGATAACTCGTTATACAAATTAATGAATCGTGGAATATACATGCTTGCACAGATCAATTTTAGATACGTTTAAGCAGACGACCCAGCTTTATCTGTACATTATAGTTATACATTAGTTACTTAAGATTTTCATACTAAATATAATAATAAATTTAAAACTTATATAATATAGAGTTAGGTGAGCAACTGCAAATGTATTCTGTTGAATTGCACGAAAAAAAAATTTCCTCTTACGATTACTTTTAAAAACCTTTCTCACAATATCATTGTTTGTTGTTGTTGTTTTTGCAGGCTTACTCCCATTGGTGTACTGTTTTTAATTGCTGCCAAACTAATAGAAATGGACGACTTGTCAGTTGTTTTTGGCCAGCTTGGTTTGTTTACAGCCACAATAATGACAGGATTTTTTATCCACGGTGTCCTAATCTTGCCAGCAATCTATTCAATTATCACCAAGACATGGCCTTTTACCTTCATTTATAACATGAGCCAAGCTTTGATGACAGCTTTTGGAACTGCTTCAAGGTGAGAACTCGTAGTGATTTTAACTACTACACTTTCATTACGTTTTAACTGAGTACAGCGATATTTAATGCTGCATGCACGCTCGCCAGTGGTTTAGCGATAAGTCTGAAGGTTCATAACGCTGACAAACGGGTTTCGATACTTATGATAGGCATAACACAGATGTCCTTTGTGTAGCTTTGCACTTAAAAACATACAAAAAAAAGCTGCATGCATTGAAACGCCCTGTTGAAAGAGTTTACTAGAATAATATCATTTAATAGTTGTAAGAATGGTTGTCTTTCTCAATAAAAAGAAAAGAACTGTAGTGTTTTAAATTAACTTGTAAAAGAAGCTTTTAAAGGAAAGTATTAATGTTTCTTTTTATTAAAGTTTTTGAATGATGACAATCTCTTAAAGGTATTTATGAAGCATCCATTGTTGTTTTCTTAGTGCAAAAATTACACAATGTCCACCGCAGGAATCGAACCCAAAATTATACACTTACTGCTGACCCACCAGAGGACTGAAGTGTCGATAGTATGGATATTTAACTTATCTCATTAAAGGATAAGTAACCTAGTGTTTCCGTTATTGTTTTATCTACAATATGTATATATATATATATCGTTACGCTTCCGTTCGTTAGTTAATTTTCCGTAAATTTCGTTCCGACGAAATTTTAGCGACGCAAGTCCTTTCTTAAATAAAACTGGTTTATTCTTTCTGAATACAACTTTGCGATACACTTAATTTCAACAGTCGCGCTATAACAAACGCTATAATTCACAACGAGCGTCTCACGTGCTCAACAATATTCTCTCTCCGCAGTTCAATTACACATTACCTTACGTTGCTTCATGGCCGGTCTTATGTATACAAGACTACCCCAATCTAGTAGTCTCCCGACATTTCATGAAGGTTCGAGAAGGAAATGGCGTGATACAAGCGTCACGTGACCTGCGTTGTCGTAACACTGCCTCTTCCTTAGTATTGTTCGTCCCGAACAATAGCATCTTACATTAAACCAATAACAATTAACAATAACTTAATTAAATGTACAGAATTACAATTCAACAAAGTCTCTTAATTTTACGGGACGTATCTTCTTCCGTACTGGTCTCTGTCTCGTTGGCTTCTGCTTCATATGGAGTTCATCTGCTTCATCAGGAAATGTCCTATCGTCGGTAACAGTCACATCAGTGGTAGTAACTTCATCAAGAGCTTCACCGTTTCCCTTCTCAAAACTGAGTAGAGTTTCTTCTTCGACAGTGGCTTTTTCAGGTGACACTTCTTCAGCAGCGTCATTTGTTCCTTTGTTCACTTCGTCCCAACTGAAATATCCTGGACTGTGATAACGCCAAAGCCTGTTGGCATGCACCACTTTTGGCTTCCCTCGCCAACCCCATTTTATCCGGAAAGTCACATCTGAGAGACGATCCATATGTCATCTGGGCCTTCCCCATGGAGAAAAAACTTAGGAGA